CTTTGCCCAGCTTATGATCACGGCAGATGCCTGCTAAAAGTATGTTGAACCAACGGCCTAACACCCACAATGTGTGCCGGTCTGAAGTGATCAAGTAATTCTCAGCATGCGCTTGTGTCTGCTTACAGTAAGTGACTAGTTAAGAATCGCTTGGGTTGGGAGGTCGCTTTGTCCCCCCCCCCCCCCACGAAGGTGTTTCCAGAATAACTTCCGAACGGCGCAACATATAAATTGTGTAGCTCTAGGTAATTGGATGGCTGATCTTTTGGTATAAAACATTATATGTACTTGTAAGGTCACCGACGTACGGCAGGTCAAGGAAAAACTATTGCAGTCAGCGAAGGCCATTTGTAAGGAATTATCCGCAACGATTCCTAGGGAATCGTTCAAACTGATGCGACAATTGAGTGTTAGACGAAACCATACACCTTTGAGATGGATTCTTAGGCAATTATATTTCTTTATTAACACGCGCCCGGGTGGCCGGCTAGATACACTTCGCTCGGGTGAGGGGTCAATTTGACCACCCCACTAAGATCTCGGGAACTAAGAAAGCTGGAGGCACCAAATTTGCAGGGTGTGTTGACCTGTACGTGAACTTAGTTGGGTCAAAGTTTGAAGTCACTAGATTATGACCTTTGGGTCACATAAGGTCAAACAAGGTCAAATTTCAGGTTGGCATCTTAAGTGCCCCCAGAATCTAGATAACTGTTTTTAAGCAAAAGGTCACATGCTCATTTAAGGTAAGTGACCTTGCTTGGCCTTTTGAAGGTCATGGTGATCAAAATCATGCGAAACTGTCCTGAGTTTTGCGTTTGAATAAGAGACAAGGATTACGCTTGGCAGTATGTGCTTTAAGAACTGTCGACCTGCGTCATCTTAAGTGAATGACCTATTGTGACCTCTGAGAAGTCAACTGAAGATGCATGGTGCGGTTCCTGCCATTAATGAATTCAGAATGGGCACCGGAAATATCCCATACAGCAAGCCCTAGAGCAATAAAACAGGTTGGTTTTGACGTTGGTCTGACCTTCATACCTGACCTTAGATCAACTTAATTTGCTCATTTAATGCTTGCGTTGCCTAATAGAATATCTCAAAGATGTATAGCTTTGTCAAACACTCCGTTGTTGTATCAGATTGAACGATTCCCTAGAAATTGACTTTGCTGAAAACCATACCTGACTTGAACCTGCCATAGGTCAATGACCATACAAGTTACATCTAACCAAACGATCCGCTATTCAATTTGAACAGCTATGCAAATTTGGCACGGCTACGTTGCACCGTTCGAAAACCATTCTGGAAAACCTTTGGAGGGGGTCAATTTGACCCCCCATCGGAGCGCGTGTTAAGGATCGCAACTAATTCCATTTACGTTTGGTCAGATATAAAGATTAGACCAGGGCCAAAACCGAATCGCCTTTTGCTGGAAAACCTGCTTTATGGGTACTTAAAAACGCTGATTTCGAATCCTTGGAACGCATGGACGTCACTAGAGATCTCACTTGGACTTTATAAGCTCAGAAGAGGTCACTTATCTTAAGTGGACCCGATCAGCCTTTTCTGCTGAGGAAAATACTGTCTACCGTAGACCTTGACACTGAATCAAATTAAAATGTCCCATAATGCTCTAAGGCTTCTGACCATCTTGACCTCCTTGAGATCAATTAAGGTCCCTGAGCTATCACACACACATGCGTAAAATTTTGCTTAGGAGAGGTATCGGGGTTGAGGTTGGTTGCATGAGAAAGACTGAGTGCACTTTGAGCATTGATCTAAAGTTTGTACTTATTTACCGACCTTAAGGCCTTAAATACCCTAACTTGAGCTAATTGAGTTTACATACAGTTCTACCTACCATTGAATTTGGTGGTTCTAGATCTTTTAGTTCTTGAGATCTCAGGGGATCAAATACCCCCCCCCCCTTCCCACACACACTCAACCCGAGCCGGCCACACGCGCGTGGTAGTGCTTAACGCGCCCACGCTCCACGTTTCCATCCATTTCTAATACTCCTTCGTACCACAGGGAGCCGGTTTGTACGGAGCCCGTCCCAACCTGACCGTTAGGAAGCCTTGGCCTGGTCTACCGAGCCCTGTCGCCGCAGTGCGGGCTGACATTTGCACTACGGTGGGAGGCAGCCGGCCGCCCTCTCTGCTCCAGCCGCAGTCCAATCTGGTCCTGTCAGTGGCCGACCGGATCTCGACGCCGACCGGATCTCTGTACGTGCTCCAGGTAGTATGCTTCCAGGACCGGATCTCTGCACGTGCTCCAGGCAGCCGGCTCCCAGGACCGGATCTCTGCACGTGCTCCAGGCAGCAGGCTTCCAGGACCGGTCCGACCAACCGGCTGTCCATTCCATTGATTGCTTAGATGTGCAGCCAGGTGCTCCAGGGTCAAATTTAGCGCGAACGCGCACCGGACGGGTGACACGCCCCTGCCCCGCCCTTTGGAAGCCCTCATTGGTGCTGTCGAGCCTGCCGCGCTAGCGCTGCCGACCGGTAAAGTTCAATGTGAAAGGAAGTTGGGGCTATTGACATCAGTAAGCTAGTAATGCTCGAGTCCACAGCAGGCCATCGAAGACCTCGGCGCGGTAAGAGTTGACTCTCGCACAGAGCAGAGCAAGGATGTATTTTGTCCGGCATGCACATGAGACTCATCTTTATTATATAGACACCGACGGGAACCTTGACAGGCACGCCCGTCCGATAGCTCCAGCTCCAACACCGCTCATGCCATTGGAAACACGACGCCTTGTCTACGCGGCGCAGGACGCACCCGTGTGCCCCCTTCTCTGGGTCAATGTGGATGAGGGTCGGGACCAGGCGTGTCTCTTTGAGCGGTGGGTTTCTCAACAATTTCAGTCTTTCAATCTCAACAATTTCTCAACAATCTCGGCATTGGTCCCATGTCGGCCCATGGAACGAGTGGCCGTAAAGTCCACAGTTACAGTTGGAAATCACTAAAATCGATTGGGCAAGTATCACGCTAGGTGGCAAACCCGCTACGCCCGTACTGTCGAAACAGAAAGCACAGGGAATGTCCAGCAGTGGAGATGGGGCATCCAAGCTCAGAGCATGTCCGGCAGTGGAGATGGGGCATCCAAGCTCAGAGCATGTCCGGTAGCGCAGATGGGGCGTCCAAGCTCAGAGCATGCTGGGCAGCGGAGATGGGGCATCAAGCTCAGAGCATGTCCGGCAGTGGAGATGAGGCATCCAAGCTCAGAGCATGTACAGCAGTGGAGATGGGGCATCCGAGCTCAGAGCATGTCCGGTAGTGCAGATGGGGCGTCTAAGCTCAGAACATGTCCGGCAGTGCAGATGGGGCATCCAAGGCTATGCAGCCACCGGATCTACCAGGTGAAAGGTACTTCGATCAGAGCCACTATTGAGGGATGCAATCGTCAGGTCTCGGACCAAACCGCACTGCACGTGCTCCAGGCAGCAGGCTTCCAGGACCGGAGCTCCAATCCAAACCAAACCCAAACCAAACCGTATCAACAACAGTCTGACGTGCCCAATGCAGGAACCCAAGTGGGCAATTTCTTCATGCTGGTCTCGGTGTTCTTATTAGCACCCGCTCCCCAAACTTTTTTGTTTGTGTATATATTTTAGCATTGAACAGAGAAGTGCTCTGGAACGTCGAAGAACTGAATGCACATAATACTGATGTGCCCCTCCTGACTTCCTGCTTTCAGAAGCTCATCCTTTGTCCTCACATGAGGAATGTGCGAGAGATTCTTTCCCTTTCAAGAGAGGGCTCGCGCGCCGTGCGTGCAAAAGGCTCTTGCTATTTGCTCACATGCCCGGGATCATATTCGCAACTCCCAGCTGCTTCATGCTCCCCGGTCATTGACGAGCTAACATTGTAGCGGAGAGCCACCATGCCGGAACAGCACGGATCACGCTGAGAGACCTTCTATACGTAAAGACTGCTGTCCGGCCGGCGGTGGGGGCTGTCGTTACTGATGTGCTGGCGACCCGAAAAGCCTGACAACGAATACAACGGGCGGACATAGCCGAAGGTGAAGTGGTTTATTTAATGACATCCTTCAATTTAGCTCCCAAAGCGAAGCCGCTACATTGCATGCAGGCATGTTATTCCTAATTCATCGCGTAGAGAAAATGTCTCAAGGTAAGTGTCTCCAGGCATAGGGTGTTATAGATGCATGAGCACGGCTCAGCATCTCGGTCCGCCTGTCACTCGTTAGAACGTTAAACAAAATTGATGAACGCCTAAGTATGTATATTAAGTATTTGTCTGGAATTGCTCCACTCACACAGAGCCTTGCCTCATAGCATCACATTAGGCTCCGATGAACAAAGACCAGGTCCAATAAGCACCGATCATACAAACACTCGTGAGACAGGCAGTACATTATTGAAATGATACCATGAAACACATGGCAGAATATACGCACGAGACCCTGCCAAAGTGGATGTGAAGCAGACGAGACCTTCGCAGAGTCCACATGCGAGAGACATATGATAGCGGCGCTTCAGCGTCCGCACCGACAGTGCCGACGCTCGATCACACTTAGCAGATCCGCATTCGGATTTCCCTGGTGAGCGCACTCCAAGTGGTAGATACGCCAGGGGCCTACGTGGACGACACGCTGATCCGTCCTCATTATCCCGGGGCCAGTTTTCCTCTCCGACCCGGACGCCAGGCGCGGCAAAAAAAAACACCCTGGATCGGCAAATGACGCATTTCCTCTGCTCAGCGCGCCGGTTACATTCAGCGTTGATATATCTTTATTTCCGCGGGCAAAGGACGCAAACGCACCGGCGCCGTCGGCTGGAGAGGCGTCCGGCGGGCTTCAGTTACGAACGACACGAACGACACGACTCCTGGTCCGCCTGGCGGAGAACGGCACGGCGCCTGGCTGGCCAGAGCGACGGCGAGCGAGCGGCCCGTCGGAGATCCGCGGCGCGCCCACCAGGGCCAAGCGGCCCGTGGCACGGCCCGGCCGCGCCCCCCGCCGCCCCAGCCGCACGTTCTCGTGTTGGCCGCGTGGCTCTCCCGCTGTTGCGGCGCGTCCGGAAGCGGCTAAAGCCGTGACGTCCCTCAGTGCGTGTGACGTTGCGCGACCTGGTTCGTGAAGTCACGAAGCGGTGGCGGCGGAAGCGGCACGACATCAGGGGGCCGGCAGTGATACCACGTCTGGTCACATGACCCGGCCCGCCCGGCCGGCGCTCTTAGCATGGTGGTGATCTGTGAGAACGAGTGCAACACCGTCTGGTCACGTGACCTGGCCCCGCCAGCCGGCACTCACAACACGGTGGTGGGCTGTGAGAGCGAATGCAGCACCGTCTGGTCACGTGAACTGGCCCCGCCAGCCGGCACTCACAACACGGTGGTGAGCTGTGAGAGCGAATGCAGCACCGTCAGGCCACGTGACCCGGCACGATCAACCGGCACTCATAGTACGGTGGTGAGCTGTGAGAGCGAGTGCAGCACTGTCTGGTCGGACGAGCAGAAGTCGAGGAACTCGTCCAGGGTCACTACACCGTCCCGGTTCGTGTCCATCCTCTGCAACAGACCCAATGACAAACATTGAGGATTGTTTTGGACTCTCCAACGCGACGTTGGGCCATCACTGACGTCGATTGTCATGCTGTGTAAGTTATAGCCAACTTGTGAAATTAAAATGTCTTGGTTTCAGCGGAAACCTTCATCAGGCGGGTTGAATGAGGCAGAACTGCATCAATGCTACAAGCAGAATAAAATATGGGTCCATGCTTTGGAATCGCAGTCCATTATCGTCCTAGGTTCCATCTCGGCTACTGAGGGTGCATATGAAGTCCCCCCCCCAAAAAAAAATATGAAAGAACCCCTATTTTGGTAAGTATGATGGATCAGGGATAGTCTAGTTCTCCGATTGGAAACGAGCTCATAAGAGTCATCTTTGTCAAAAAAGCATGTTAAGAAGTGCGCAAAGAGCTTAGGGTTCCGTAGTTTTAGGCCTCCTGACTGGAGTTTCTGGGCGCTAGCAGCCAACGCTAGAGTAGATAAAGTTTGTGAGGAGTTTTGCCTCATGTTTGTAAATGAGTGGAACAGGTTTCTTTAACTCTAGAGACCTGTATCAGATGGAAGGACTCCATTTCTCTGGGAAAGGTGTGCAAGTCCTGAGCAGGGTGAATGAACATGTTTTCAGGGAAACTGGGTGATGGTGATAGGAGGGTGAACATGGAACACATAGGGAATACAAACGGATATTTGCGGAACGGTGAGCCAAAAAGCAGCGTAGGGAAACTTAGGTGCCTCAATGCAAATGCAACTAGTATCAGGAACGAGTTCGATGAGCTCCGTGTTCATATGCTTGAAGAAAAATGAGACCTGGTAGCTATTACTGAATCTAGGATCAGTGAGCACATTTTTAGGGGACAGTTTACAAGAATTTAAAGTATCTGGGAAGAACACGTTTACTTTTCATAGAAAAGCGAAAAAAGGACGGTGGAATACTAGTCTATGTAAGACAGAACATGAAATGTTGAAGTGTAGATAGCATGAAGAAAAGCGATAGTGTAGAGTCCCTTTGGATTCATGTGATTACGCCGAAGGGCAATAATTTACGTGCTGGAAGTTTCTGTAGGTCTCCAAATAGTTGTCAGGATGTGGACACAGATTTAGGTGAAGAAATCGGCCGAAGTGTGAATGGAAAATGTGTGGTCGTGAGAGATTTTAACATTCCAGGCTAGAACGTGGATCTTGGCCAATTGTTGAATTGTCACGAAAATATTTTGCATGCTTTGGAGAAATTTTGCCAGTAGCTGGTGTGCAAACCGACTAGCGGAAATAAAATTGCTAATCTTGCTATGACTGAAGGGGAAGGGCTTGTAGGTGCGTTGACAGCAGGCGAGATGCTAAGAAATAGTGACCATAGTATTGCAAGGTTTTCATTACATCTAGGCCATTTAGGCAAACCGAATAATACTCTTATTCCAAATTTGGCCAGGGGTAAATTTAAAGAAGTCCAGCTTTTCTTGCTAGCTTCCAGTGAGAACATTTTCTAACTGGACTCACTGCACGCTAAATGTGGGAAGTGTTCAATGATGTTTTAGAAGGATAGAAAGTGTTTATTCCCTGCAGGAAAAACGAGAAATTAGCTCAAGAAAGCCCCCATGACTGACGCAGACAGCGCGGAATTTGATGGCAGTGAAGAAGGCAGCATATGATATGCAAAAAGTGGAGGGCGCAGAACGCAGGAAGACAGCGCGTAAGGTTGCTACAAAAAAGGTAAAGAAGAAAATTGAGAAAGCAGAAAGATAATCAGAAATAAGGCTAGCAGGCATTCGCTTTGGTGCTATTAAGACATTTCCTAGCTACTGAAAATTCAAATCTAAAGGATCCGCTCTTGGCCCCCTTGAGGAAGGTGGAAAATCATTGCTGGAGGACAAGGAATATTGTAGATGCTCTTTGCGGGCAGTTTTTTCGGCTTTTACATAGAAGTCCGTTTTTTATCTCCCTGGTTATAGTCTAAATCTGACAGAAGACTGTTTTGCAGATCTGACGGTGACCGAGGGTATGGCAAGGTATAGCTTGAAGGGAATCAAGGCTAATAAGGCGGCCGGACCTGACTAGATACATGGTAAAGCGCTAATTGCATGTGCTAGTACCTTAGGATATCCTATTATGCTAATATTTAATAGGTCATTGAGTTTTTCAGAAGTACCTGCGGAATGGCCCAATGTTATTCTGGTATCGATATTTAACAAGGGGACCAAAAAGAGTGTCAGCAACTACAGGCCTGTCAGTCTTGCTTCACTAGTATGCAAGATCTTAGAAAAATTCATTGAGGCTAGCATTTGACTTTGATAAATAGTAGCCAGTATGGTATTCTTTCTCGTAGATCCTGCTTGGCAAATATTCTGGAGTTCATGGAGCATGTTACTGGCCAGGTAGACAAAGGTAATAGTTTAGATGTTGTTTATCTAAATTTTAGTTAAGTGTTTAATACGGTATCATACCGTGTAGCATTTAAAATTGCATGGCATTGGAGGAAAAATTATTGGCTTGGTAGGGGCTGGGCTGCAACACAGGAAGCAAAGAGTGGTGCTCAGTGGTACTAGATCTCTGTGGGAGCTAGTAGATAACGAGGTTGCAAAGGGTCGTTGTTGGGTCCTTTGCTCTTTATTATTTTCGTGAATAATTTTGGGGTAGGATTAGAAAGTAAGGTGTTTATATTTGCTGACGACATTGAACTGATGGCGGTATCAAAAAATGCAGATCAGCTGAAACTTGATTTAGATAAACTAGTGAACTGGGCTTCTATGTGGCAAATGTCATTTATTTATGATAAGTGTTATGCGATGCACTTAGGTAGTTTCGGCGGTGAGGGCATTAACTGTAAGATGGGAGGACAAGAGTTGGACCAGATCAAGGGCGAAAAGGACTTAGGGTTATAATTTTCAGAGATTTAAAGGTTAGAAAGCAATGTGGCGCTGCTAGGAGCAGGGCACTTCGGGTGCTGGGACTTATGAACAGGAATGTACATTACAAGAGTAGGAATGCTGTCAAAAAGCCTTAGTTAGCTTATGTTAGACCACACCTAGAGTACTGTATACAGACTTAGCCCCGCTGCTTCCATATATATATATATATATATATATATATATATATATATATATATATATATATATATATATATCCTAACCTTTTACCTCCATCCTACCTTTTGCTAATTGAAACTGGTTTCCCTCCTCTAAGTTTCGGCCCAATTTACAGTGCTCCTTGGAGATATACACTTTCATAGCCTTGTATACCTCTATCAGACCCACTTTAAGTCCACGATATTTTAGTGAATACAATGCCTTAGGCCTATTTCTAGATTCTAAGCCGCTAATGCCATTTATCATCCTAGCTGCTTTTCGGTGTACTCTCCCAACCTATTGATTTATATATATATATGTATATATATATATATATATATATATATATATATATATATATATATATATATATATATATATATATATAAATCAATAGGTTGGGGAGAGTACACCGAAAAGCAGCTAGGATGATAAATGGCATTAGCGGCTTAGAATCTAGAAATAGGCTTAAGGCATTGTATTCACTAAAATATCGTGGACTTAAAGTGGGTCTGATAGAGGTATACAAGGCTATGAAAGTGTATATCTCCAAGGAGCACTGTAAATTGGGCCGAAACTTAGAGGAAACCAGTTTCAATTAGCAAAAGGTACGAGCAGAATTATGAGAAGGCAAATATAATTAAGTCAAAGAGAAGTGAATTATTAGAATGGACTGCCAAACAAAGTTGTGGGAAGTCCCTACCAACCAATATTTAAAAATTGTTTGGACAATTTCCGTAGGTCTGAGGATCCCATTTACAGCTACATTCAGGCAGGTCAGGTGGTAAGACTGGTTCAAGGATGTTGAGGAGTCTATGGTAGGCCAAACTCGATGGGCCCATGTGGCTGTTTGTTGGCCTAATTTTTAGATGTCTGTATAAACCATTTTTGATCTGAGGAAGCTAACAAAGCGGTACAAAAATTGACATTATCATCGACTTGCACACTTGAAACAAAGTTTTTGACGCTGTCTTAAAATGGCGATCCCATATTTTCGGCCGTAACAGCTAGCTGGTGTGACACTTGACTTGGAGGGGGAGGGGGACAGCACTATGTAAAATTAAGAGATTTAAAGCTGCGTCAAAATGTCTATCAACGAACCCTTGCCACGATAGACGCTCTATGGGTGGGCATACATTGTTACGTGGACTCATTTGACTTCTATTTTACTCTAACTGACTTCATTTCGACGTTTCTGCCCTCTGTCGGACCTACCCCAAAGAGAAAAATCGTCAAGCCATGTCAATAAAAAGATGTACCTAACCCGCAATCATTCACGTCACATCATTATTCCGCAAAATAATTGCTATGAAAACATTGGATATGGCGCGTCACTAGACAGCGAAGTGGACCTGGCACACATGGGTTATCAATATGCTGATCTGTTAGTGGGTTTCCATCTTTTGAGCCTTTTCGCTGGCTGCCATGTCTACAAAAAATGTTAACCATTGATCCATGCCTCTCTGCGAAGTCATGTGTGACTTTTGCACAACTCTCAAAATCTCGATGAAATCGATACCCATTGTTGGCCTCCTATTCATCAATTGGCTTGCTATCCACTGGCTAGTCCCGATCAGAATGAGCTGGAATGATAGCAAAGAGGGCTCATCTTCCATGTCCAGCAACGCTATTTCCTATCATTATATTATATACTTATTAATTGCGCCGCATCGTCATAATAATTCGCCACCGGCATAGACGGCAGCATCAAACCCATAGCGGCTTTTCAGCATCGCTAACGTCACGCGCCTTGCTGGCTCTCTCGCGGCAAAAATAGCTTGGAACTACCGAGCTCAAATATCCTTGCGCACTATCAAACAAATCAGATTTTTGATTGGGTGTCAGATATAAAATTGCCTTGATTTGAAAAACAGACTAGCCCCCAGCAGCCATGCTTTTGGAAAAAGGTTTTGTCATAAATTCTGGGACATCCTGGTGGATACGAAGCAAAAACACTGGTTTAATCAGAGATACCTGGTTTCGTATCCCAGAGAATAAGATTGAATAGCTTCATCGCATACCGTGTTGAATGCAATGAAGCTACATTTTTGGTCCCGAGTTGCATTGCATTCATTGTAAGCCTGGAATGCTAAAGACATTTTTGAAGCCATCTTTTTGGCTCAAATTGCAGTTTGTTAATCCCCTTACAGTTACAATGCCACACAAAGCAAACGAAATAGCATATTCACGGCAATGCAACCACTTGCAGTAATGCAAACAATAAAAAAGGGGAATCAGTTGAAAGAAAACACGCTTGAAAATGAGATCAAGCACTACCAATAGGTTGAATTGATGAATGCTGATATGCTATTGTTATGTCATTGCTGCCATAATTTTATATGTGTCATTTTTCTTACAGTTACCTGAAAGACATGGACACGAAGACCTTAAATCAAGAATTTGTCTTGCGGCGACATGTGAAGACGGCACAATACCCGTCCTCTTCAGTTGATGTTTACCACGCAAGTGTTCCTGTCTTTGCTTACCTGAAAGACGTCGTCTACTTTTGTGGAGACGACCGAGTCGTCCTGGAGCATACCCAGCGTGACGCCCCCCAGCAGGGCGTAGATGCTGATGAACACTGACGTCATCTCCCCGCGGGTGATCCTGCCGTCGTTGTTGATGTCGTACAGGCGGAACATCCAGCGCAGCTTCTCTTCTACCGTGCCCCGGCATAGTCGGGATAACCACTTCAAAAACTCCTGCGGGACACAATCCAAGACTAAGTACTTACTGAGGACATCTCCGCCGGCGACCACGACGGGTGCCATAAGATAACGCCAAAATCACGCGTCAGGCAGCGTGCCGACTTGCTTCAGCCAACGAGCCGTGCACAGGTCACGTATACATTTATCTGTCGTCATTGTATCATGCCTTTGAACCAACTTATTCATTTATTTATGATCTTCAATTAATACAGATTCCATCTTGTAACTATCAACAACTGGAATGCGAAAGGCCAGCGGAATGTCGGTCCCTCCATCGTTATGTCAATAGCTTGTGTAAAGCCTGTTGCCAGCCGAGCTCACCTCGAAGGTGATCACCGGGTCGGCAGAATCCACATCAATGTGTTGAACACGTAGTGGGCATACAAGCTGGAGTTTGCTGCAACAGGGGCGGTGTGAGTCAAATGGTGAATGCAGACTGGCCCGAACAGCCGGCTGGCATTGACTGTCCACTTTGAATGCGCGAACTCTCAAAGTTATTTAATACTGGCCACGCGGTGGCAATAACTTGGAATTCAGATATCTCTGCCATTTGTCAGTAATTTGAATGCGCGAGAGAGGTGGAAGTTTTCGAAACTTTGTGCGGCAACGCATTCGTTTACATATCGATTATTTACCATCCAACACTCGCGGGCTTCACGTCGAAACTCATAAGCATCGATGGAGATGTTCGGCAAGTACCCGTCCAGAAGCGTGGCAAGCGCTCGCCACCCACGCGCGTGACGAGGATGCACGTCCGCTGGCGGGTCGGCTAGCGTTGTCAGGCGGCGGTGCTTTCCGACGAAGCTGTTAACGACTGCACTGCGTCGAGTTCAAGCCCAGTGTAGGCCAGGTAAATAATTCCACCAACACCTCCTGCCAACCTACCAAACATGCGTGAGTGGCGAGTAGAGACCATACCTAATTTCCGTTCATAACGTTGGTTGGGGGTGTACGTCTCCCCGACTGCCACAGCAACTTCGAGACGGATGCTTTCAAAAGGCCAGTGGGTTCATGTGGGATGCAGTGGAGGCGTGGCAGAGGCTCGAACACGAACCCGACGGTTACAGCGCCGAGCGTCTTAACTACTCTACCAGCACCGCCCCCCTTACCACTCTATTCGCGTGCATGCTATCTTGCATGGAACATTGTATCAGCATGTCCACGTCAATGAACTCTGGCCAGGAGGAAGCGCTCGTCGCTTCACGTGTTTTTGAAAAGAAGCTGGTCAAACGAAGACCCAATAGTTCCACAGCACCGGTCGCCCCCGGCGCGGTCACATGCCGCTCGATGATACAGCAAGATTACCAACTTGACATTTTGCTAAGCTTTCGGACTCGTTGGACTGGAAGCTATTGCGTAGGTCGCTTAGGTGCCATATTGTGCAAGATCATGGGGTCAATCGTCAAATACGAGGTCTTATGGCCAACTGGCTTTGAACCACTAAAAACACGGCGATGGGCGTGGTTTTAGGCACAATGGCCGACGTGAAACATAACGTACTGTCAAAGATGAAGGACTGCATCAGGGCTGCGGAAAATCAGAAACCTAATGGGTGCATTGTTCCTCAACTTCAGCGGGGTCGTCTATTCGGTAGCGGTTTTCCTAGGGGATCGCGCTTGGACCGCCGTCTCCCGTCAGATGCGTTAGCGGCATACCGGGCCTTGCGCAGTGCCCAACAAAGCCGACCGCAGCCGACGCCAGGCTCCGGGCTGCCGCCGCCGACGGACATTATTGCGGTGGCTGCGCGGTACGACATATGGCAGTTACTCAGCAAAGCCTCGCTGTGTTTAACGGTGTACTGCCGGGAGCAAATTTTCCGGAAGCCTGTGCCATGCGAGAGACAACGACCGTCGAGCGCGACCCTGGACACCGGACACAGCTGGACACAGCAATGAAGCTCTGCAAACGAGCAGCTGTCGCGACACTGAAGGTGTCCAGGTCTGGTCTCTCGTGCCGCGGAACGCTCCAGCTTATCGATCAGACCACCATGCCCATGTCCGAAACCCTTGTGCGAGCTCGCCAGAGAATGGGAGTGCAATGGGGAGCGGGTGGTGGGGGTGGGGGTGCAACTGTTCAGACTAGAGGCTAGTGAACCTCGCCCAGCGACGAAAAACCGGCCTGGTGCGGACCATTAGAACTGCGCCCTGTCTCGAGAAGATCCGCGGTACCTGGTCGGTCCTAACGATAGCACACCCGACGTCCTCACCACATTGCATTAGTTCCTGCACTCGGGGGCTGGTATTGACCCGAAAGGCTTCTTCACAAAGCAACTGCTCCTAGCACAAAGGTTGGTCACTATTGGAAAAATAACAAGCTTCAGTCTGCGGCAGGGATCAAAATGGACGGCCTCCTCTGTGTGTGACAGTTAACAACTGGAACTCCCGGCCCCGCGTGGTCGACAGACACTGAACTCTGCATTGGTGCCGTTTATTGGGAGGAGGCGACGTCTGCGATCACATTGGACCCACGGTAATGCATATCTGGGACCAAATCTGATGTCTGCAAGACTTGAGAGCGGCTGCCAACAAAGGGCTGGCGCGAGCCGTCGCCCAGGATGTCGCGTGACCTAAGTGACGGAGCATTTCACCCGAAGTGACGCAAACGTTCCCAGGCGAAATGTAGACACGATCGAATCGCATGGCGCACTCGAAGAAACACGAGATGCCGTGGACATCTGGGTCTGTCACCGCCACACAGCAGGGACCTGTGAGTGCCATACGTGTGCTTGAAACGCCACCTGCAAACCATAACCTCCTCTCGCCTTGCCTGCCCCGAGCTGGAAAATCGTAGGCCCCAATTTGCATTGTATAGAGTTAAGTTCGTCACTTCTTTCCCTATTCCACCAGTGCTGCCACTTGCGTTGAAAAAAGGTGAAAAGAAAAGTGGGCAAAATGGCATGCTGATAACAGCAATGTGCGTGTACATGGTGCATGTGAAGCGCATTTTTCAGTGGGGTCCGCTGACTTGTTTTCGAGGACGATAACGTGGCCAGGAATCCAACAAAGCGTCACCTTCTTTCTAGCTCGATCCGGTGCTACAGAGTGACGATATCAGCGCGATGGAGTGACGTGTAAAGGATCTGAACCACTCCTTCCTGTGTCAAAAGGGAGACTACAACGACCTCCCGCCAAGAGGTTGGAAAGCTGCCACTTTCCCAGAGTAAATTAAGAACTGCCCAACAAAACCTCCATCGTGCTATGACAAAGGTGCTGAAGCGTGTTGTGCACACCATTAGGACCCTCTTCAAAACTCTGCAGCGTGCTAAAGCATGTTGTGCACACCATCAGAACCCTCTTAAGAACTCTGCAGCGTGCTGAAGCATGTTGTGCACACCATCAGAACCCTGTTCAAAACTCTGCAGCGTGCTGAAGCATGCTGTGCGCACCATCAGGACCCTCTTCAAAACTCTGCAGCGTGCTGATGACATGTTTTGATTCAGTGAGGGTGAAAGGTTCAGTGTGCGCATGCGTTCGGTACTGGGAAGATATGTGCGGACTTCCTCGCGGAGCATGCGATGACAATCGACTTGTCGCTCCGCGCTGATGCCGCTGCCCGCTCTCCAAAATCGCAAGGCCAACTCCGCTTCCAACATCTCCTGGGTGGGTGACGTGGTCGTTTACGTACAAAAAAACAAGGAATGGAGTGCAGCAGAACTGCCCGGAAATCCGCTTCATCCGTGACCCGGACCTGGGCAGTAGTTTTAAGACAGGTTAGTGTACCAACGTACTCACTCCACAGTGCGCTTCAACCTCCCTGATTGTGCGATGGACGAACGCCCTGGCTTTCTTAAACGCAAGCAGGCTGGTCGTGCTTCTTCTGCGATCGTAAGCCGGAAAAGCTCGTTTGTGTGAGAGACGGGTAGCGTCACGGCACTCATGCGTCTGTGACGGAGCGGTTGTGTGATGCGGAGCGTCTAAAGTGCAGGGAATACACCTGTCAGCACATTCTAAAACCAGGGCTGCAAGCCCCTCTGCAGAGGTGAGCACACTGCCGGAATGTGCCGAAAATGATGCTTCAAGTCGAGCTTCAAAGCCAGTGCAGTCAACCTTATTAAAATTTCAAAGCCGCGGCCAGCTGCCACACTGCGGTATCTCAGCCAAACTGGGAAATAGTCGCTCCCAAGCGGATCATCGGCCACCGCCCGCTCCGGATACTCCATACGTCGTGGGCCAGAAATACTGAGATCAAGAATCGATGCACGTCCGCAAAGAACAACAAAACGCGTTGGCTGTCCGTTGTTTAAAGCACATGAATAAGCATCGTGATTAAAGCTCCCGCAGAGCATCTTGACCTGACCTGGCCTGATCCTGATCAGGGTGCAGCGGCACGGTATCGAACCACGATGGTTTCAAGGTTACATTGATGGACGGCGGCAGATGGTGAAAGCTGGCTCCAAGGTGTCCCTCGGGGACCCCGGTGGATCAAATCTTCTTCAGCGTCTTCACGAACAAACACCGTCCTATTTGCATCACCGGCGGCTGGTTTCCTAACCCGATGATACCCAACTCCTTGACTCCGCACAAAACCGACAACTTATGTGCCCACCCTAAAATCCCGAATGGAGGAAACCATTCTTACCCTCTTATCCTACTTCACTGCCAATGCCCTGAAGGTGAACCCACCAAGACCACTGAACGGCACGTCCCTGGGGATCAAAAACTTTATCCTGTCAACCTAACATCTTCGGTTTAATATTAACCCCTCGCCGTCCATGAAGACACCGGGAGTGATATATGTGAATAAGTATACATATATATACATATATATATATATATATATATATATATATATATATATATGTGTGTGTGTGTGTGTGTGTGTGTGTATGTGTGTAGATGTATATATATATATATATATATATATATATATATATATATATCAGACTGCATTAATAGCCTTATTCCTGGTAGAGCAGCCAGAAGAATCGACAGATATATGTATTGATATTTTGGCTACACGCCTTTATCGAAACGAATATCAGTAGATGCTGATTTTGGTTGGTCGTTAGTGGTCGGGCTGGGCTGAGTCGAGCATTTGCGTTAGGACCCCTGTGGAGCAAATAGAATGGAAGGTCCTTCGTGAAAGTGCTTAAGAGGATTGGACTCACCAGATCCCCTGAGGAACACACTGGGATAAGGAAGGGGGTAGTGAACCACCTCTTATCATCTACTGACATTCGTTTCGATGTAGGTATGTATTAGGTATGTATATATGTATATATATATATATATATATATATTATATATATATTTCGGGTATCATCTCCTTTCTGAGACCCGAAAACTTCACATCGAGGCCCATGTTTTCCCGAGATCCTTAACTGCTCGTCAGTCTGGGGCGCGGCCCGCCGCGTGCTATCTCCGCCAGGTGCGAAAGGTCATAGCTCTCGCGGCCAAGATCGTCCCTGGGGCGCGGGGTCGGAGATCATATTTCATCGGTCGTGCAGTCGCTGGGCTGGCGCGCATGAGTGACCTTGCTACGCGCCGCGTCCGCATTGGCGCCTTCAGGGTCCTAAACGAACTCCGTGCCCGGTGGCGGGTCCGGTCGCTGTTCACCCCCCCCCCCCCCCCTCCCTCCCCCCCGGACCGATGTGAGCGAGCGCATCACGAGTTCGGCGGGGGCCGCCGCTTTGGAGCTGCCCTCTTTCCGACTGTCTGTGTCGCGTAAGGCGTTTTCATATCGTGCGGCCGACGTCCTGGAGCCACCTGCCACCGATCGTCATGACTCTCAGAGCCGTGCTGTGCCCATATCTAAATTTGACCAATGTGAAAAAGGATTTTGTTTGACTTTGAGGGCTTTCCTCATCTCTTAGCGTGTTTTCATCACCGCCACATCTTATTTCTTATGTGTAACCTGTATCCAGTTGACGCACATTAAGCATTAAGCACCTGATGGCAGGTGCAGCAAGTCCACTGTAATACCACGGCTGTGGATATGGTCACGTGCTACAGTCTGTAGCGGCAGTTCCAACTTCAGCGTTTGGACTGACACGCAGTGGAGCATTGCCAGGAGGTCACCACCGTGCGCAGCCGTGTCAGCTGGCACGTCCCTACCGAAAATTGAATTGCCTTTTACGCGAAATGAGAGTTCGACGCCAAATGTGTTTCCTGCAACGCTGCGGCTGTTAGACATCTCTGTCTGCAGCCGGCAGCCGTACGCGTTAGCCCATACTCCACTCCAGTTCCGCCGTAAAAGCATCTGGAAATGGACGGGTTAAATGGAAGATAAAAGATCACACAGCAAAACACGACCAGATTTGAAAGAGCTGCGCTGCGTCAGAGACAGTGCGAGACACTTCAGACTTAGGATGACATGACATGATCATCACAGACATGATCGTTCCGTTCCCGTTCCGTTCCGTTCCGTTCCGTTCCAAAATATGCCTGTACGGGACATGCCTGGCGCCGACATACCCAGTCCAGGCTGGTGGCGGGGAAAGTCTACTGGCGAGTCCTGCCCGTCACCTGTAGTACCGGGTTGAAACTTTTACCGGCCTTCGTAGAGAGGGAGTGTTGCTCGTGGGGGAGGGGGGGGGGGCTCGTTACCCGTCCATGTCAATCTGATGGACTCTTTGGCCCGCTCCTGCTCGGCCTGGTGCACCCGAGCAGCGTCGCAGGCGCGCCTGTCTGCTTCACGGCGCTCAGGTGTCTGGCGTTTATTCAGGCGCGCCCGCCAAGGTTTTTGGAGACGAGGAGGGCGGCGGGGCGTCGCACGGTAAGGCCGGCGGAGCCTGCGGACCTCTCGTGCACCGGGCCTCCGTCCACCCCTCCGTCAGCGCACTCGACGATGCTGTTGGGGTCGGCAGGACGGCGGATGCCGAGCGTTCCGACGCGCGGGAAGGGGTAGGGCTCCACCCGGCGACCAGGCTCTCGACCCGTCGACACCACCGGGACGCAGCCATGGGGTTGCCCAAAGATGCCAAACACGGCTCCGTTGAGGCGCTTGAAGAAGAGACAACTGCGTTGCGGAGACGACGCCACTATCGAGCAGCCAAAAGGCCTCAGAAGCTAGATGAGGTCTGTGGCAGTCGTTGGGTCCATCGGAGTCCTGCGGGACCTGAGTCTTGGTCTCTGTAGCGCAACTGATCGCTGGGTGACTCTCCTCTACAGGTCTCTGCTTCGCGGAATGATGTCCACCTAGTGCATTTAAGCGTGATAATTTGCCTCTCCTTCGGGTCGACTGGGCAGGGACGTGGAATGAGGATACGGATTCTTGTCACTCTTAATGCACCAAGGTCTTCGGCCGGCGCACTGCTCTACTGTATTGTCCAGTGAGGCACATCTGTCACAGACAGCCTGGTTGAGGGGAGTCCCTGTCGTGTGGCCAAACCTCCGACGTCCGTCTCAGGGAGTTGCGAAGAATACGACGCACTTTTATCCTGGTGTAGCTTGCCCCGATGCCTTGTGGTTCTGTTAAAAGTAAAATTAATGTCGTTTGTTGATATCCGATCGCTGCCCTGTCACATCTTGACCAGTCGAGCTTCGGTGACCCCAAACTCTGTCAGATCTTCTACAATCTCGTCTCGCTCACCTCTTCCGAGTCAAAACAGTTGGTAATATCATCAGCCGAGTCCTTGGTCTTATGAACCTCCTTTCTTGAAACGAGCGCCACCTCTCGCTTATCCTCCGCGTCCAGCACGCTGTACACTAACCGTGTAGCCCCATCGCTCGCTCGACTTCCACTCCATTATACATTCCACTTCAATGCCGCCGTCTCGAAGCTTATCGCATCACACCACAGTGCTGAAGCGACCACATTCAGTTCCACGTTGGAACGGAGATGGAGGTGAAAGAGCCTTATTGTCATTATGAAAAACCAAGATCCGGGAGCAGGGGCAGGGCCACTGAAGCCGGGTACATTGACGGCTGGACACCGCCAGGACCACCCTGGTGCACTACAGCGAACGACACCTCCTACCCGGCCGGGTGTAACCGGGAAAGCTCCTGCCCGTCCTGACCGCGGTTCAGCACCTCGGCCCGTGTACTCCTGAACCCACTGCGAGCGGCCAGGCGCCCCAGCGGAGGCCCACGAGCAGCACCGAGCCGCAGCATGAGCGCGAGGCCAGTTTAACGCCGCGGCTGACTCGCGCAAGGCACCCCGCAGCCACCAGGACCTGGTCAACCCTGAGCGCGGGTGAGGAGACAAAGCGAGACCGGTTAAACGAGGACAAAGAAAGGTGAGACGGTGGGATGCGGAAGGCGGGTGACGAGGAGGGAACGGGCGGGACAACAAGCTGGAGCTCGCGTACCGGCAGGGTCGCCAGTCTCTGAAATGGGCGGCTTACGTCGCCCACTCATTACCGGCGCTGGGACTCGAGGGGTCGCTACTCCCTAGCATCGGTGGAAGCCGGTGTCTCTGCGTGAACGCACCTCATATACGACATTCCATTCCAGGGCTTATGAAGTGGCGCAGACAGCGAAGCAAATAGGACCTATAGGCCTACAGGACCTACAGGCCTCGGGACTCTGCATACCCTATGCCATAACTTTAGAATCCTCACCAACCATTGTCGCCAAACCAGCCCAGGTCGAACCAGTAAGTTTTGAACTACCTCACGGTGAATTCCTCCCCGCCACACAGTAAACCTACACCGCATTACACACAGACGCTGTCCCCACAGTCTTTTGCTGGGCTGCTTGGCTAGAATGCTAGCGAGCAACGCGGGTTCCTTACATTGCCTGGGAAAGAACCGCGAGTAGATCTCCTTGAAGTCGTCCTCGCCGACCACGCCCATGGGACACTCGACCTTGAAGCCGCGGTAGATGCGCTTCACCTCGTGCGGCGAGAAGTGCGTGCTGCTGGAGAGGGTGATAACGTCCTTGGGCCGGTACCGGCGATCTTGGCTGAACTCTTCCAGGTCAGAATCTGCCGGCGGAACACCTGATGTCATGCGATGGTGGTCGGTGGTCATACGGTGGTCATACGAACGGTGGATGTTATATGGCGGTCTGACCAGACAAGGGTGCGACGCCCCAGGTGGGTGCCCATTCGTATAACTCTAAAGGACTGAGTGATGTTCATGTTACCTTGCACAGTAGTGTTTCCATCACGAACACTCAGGATCTTTGGGCATAGGTTTTATTGGTCACATGCACGTTTTCTTTCACTGACATTTGGCTCACTATAGTCACCTTACAAATACTCAGACAACCTGTACTTCAACGACAAGAAAACATTTTTGAAGACATTAAATTGCAAACAATCAGTGGCATTCGTTTTCCATCCCGCCCACAGCGGTGTCCCAACGTCGAAGGAGCACGACTATGCCGTCTGCAGTATAGACGGTCGTGGATGTCCACACGATGGTTGCATTGCATAATGCATTGTTGTTCTAGAAACATGCACGTAAACCACGACTTTTAAGGCACTTGGCGTGAGACATTATCATGTGTTTGCATAGGCTTCCCTTTATTTCACTCAAATCGTCCCTTGATTTAAGTACACTGAGTCACTTATGGCTATGCCACCGCTTCAATATACAACCAAACCGATTTAGACCTGTGTTTGCCGTCTGCCTCAGAGCTCTGGCGATCAGACTAGTGTTTGCCGTCTGCCTCAGAGCTATGGCGATCAGACTAGTGTTTGCCGTCTGCCTCAGAGCTATGGCGATCAGACTAGTGTTTGCCGTCTGCCCCAGAGCTATGGCGATCAGACTAGTGTTTGCCATCTGCCTCAGACCCATGGCGATCAGACTAGTGTTTGCCGTCTGCCTCAGAGCTCTGGCGATCAGACTAGTGTTTGCCGTCTGCCTCAGACCCATGGCGATCAGACTAGTGTTTGCCGTCTGCCTCAGAGCTCTGGCGATCAGACTAGTGTTTGCCGTCTGCCCAGAGCTCTGGCGATCAGACTAGTGTTTGCCGTCTGCCTCAGAGCTCTGGCGATCAGACTAGTGTTTGCCGTCTGCCCAGAGCTCTGGCGATCAGACTAGTGTTTGCCGTCTGCCTCAGAGCTATGGCGATCAGACTAGTGTTTGCCGTCTGCCTCAGAGCTATGGCGATCAGACTAGTGTTTGCCGTCTGCCTCAGACTATGGCGATCAGACTAGTGTTTGCCGTCTGCCCCAGAGCTATGGCGATCAGACTAGTGTTTGCCGTCTGCCTCAGAGCTATGGCGATCAGACTAGTGTTTGCCGTCTGCCTCAGAGCTATGGCGATCAGACTAGTGTTTGCCGTCTGCCTCAGACCTAGGGCGATCAGACTAGTGTTTGCCATCTGCCTCAGACCCATGGCGATCAGACTAGTGTTTGCCATCTGCCTCAGACCCATGGCGATCAGACTAGTGTTTGCCGTCTGCCTCAGAGCTATAGCGATCAGACTAGTGTTTGCCGTCTGCCTCAGACCTATGGCGATCAGACTAGTGTTTGCCATCTGCCTCAGACCCATGGCGATCAGACTAGTGTTTGCCATCTGCCTCAGACCCATGGCGATCAGACTAGTGTTTGCCGTCTGCCTCAGAGCTCTGGCGATCAGACTAGTGTTTGCCGTCTGCCTCAGAGCTATGGCGATCAGACTAGTGTTTGCCGTCTGCCCCAGACCTATGGCGATCAGACTAGTGTTTGCCATCTGCCTCAGACCCATGGCGATCAGACTAGTGTTTGCCGTCTGCCCAGACCTATGGCGATCAGACTAGTGTTTGCCGTCTGCCTCAGAGCTCTGGAATGCGCTCATCTCTGACAAGCGCGCTACGTGTTTGCCGTCCCTCCAGATCTACAGGGGCTCGGGGGGGGTTTGTACGGCCATCTCCGAATGCCATCTCTGATCTGAGTCAACGTCGTAGGTCATGAGGCACATGGCATCGAGGATCCAGGCTCGCAAATCAGGCTTGCGCACAGCGATGCACCTGGATGAAATGAATCCAGTATCCCAAGACGCCCACCAATGACGTTAAGGGATGCGGAATCTCTTTTGAGATTGAGGCACACACCAACCATAATTGAACCATATTTGTCCACCAATGACCATATTTGAAATCATTGGAGCCATGTTTGGTAATGAATGTATGTAGGGTTCATGGAAGGGATTAGATTCCCCTGATGTGGGTTCGAAGAAGGTTAGCATGCTGCCCCTGTGCACCCTAACGGAATACCGCAACGGTGTGCTGAGTGCCTGGTATCACAGCCACAATGTTTCTTCACGCATGAAACGAGCAACGATGGGGTAGCCCATCCCGCCCTAAAACTGAGTTGTGCGCGGTTTTCACTATTTCATGACAGGACTATGAGTGCTTTAGAACCGGCTTGCCATAATGCCTGTCCAGGGTTCGGGTCTCTGTGTCGGTCGGGAGGACCAGTTCGCACCTCAAGACGTGCGGTCCCTTCAAAGGGAAGACGGGCGAATGTAACCTTATGGGCTGTTTGGATGTGCGGGTAGTTGGGAGCGATCGAGCTGCGCATTGTTTGGGGGACGTGTTCCCAAGAGCGCACGTTGGCGATGTGCGGTTAGTTGGGAGCTATCGAGCTGCGCAGTATTTAGGGAACGTGTTAAAAAAAACGCACGTGTGCTCTGTTTGACTTGTGCGGCTGACCGACTGTGGACCCGAACGCCTTGAGTGGCAGAACGAGTTACCCTTTTGCTCCTGAATGACGCACAAGCTTAAAACTTACGACTTAATTATCTGGGGTGGTGCCCAAAAAATGCAAGATAATCCACGTCACATCAAGTCCCTGTTCAGACACCAAACGGAGAGGTCCACAATAAATCACTGCGATTTTTCCCTCGGGGTAAACATACGGCTAGGTGTCACAAGTGTGTTCCTAAATGAATGTTGCTCTGGTCTCGGCCACTGGCCGGCCTGCGGCGATGGTTTATCAGGAGCAGGGGAGGGTCGCGTGCAGGTACCCACCGCCATCAGATATGGGATAAGCGATGG